GGCACCGATACTTACAAATATTTTGTGTGCCGCTCTCCTACTATTTTCACTCTCCATGGTTGGCCACACTGACAATGAATTTCGTTCAGTGGCGGGTTAAGGGAAGTGGCAATAGGGTCACATATTTATTTTAATAAAAAATACGACACAAAAAGCAGAATTTAAAATTTCTTAAATTCTAACATAAAAAGAGCAGGAAATTTAAAAATAATAATTACTTTAGTCTATTCTGTCCCCACCAGTAATAAGAATTTTTGTAATTAATTCGTTATAATTTCTCACACCCATTTAAACAGTGAAATGAAGAATGAAAATATTTAATATTTTTAATCACAATTTATTTATAATGATTGTTCAAAATGTCTGCCCTCGTTCTGTATAAATAGATTATAACTCGTCTTCTTAAACTGTTAAATACATTATGCATTGCATTTTCCATAATATTAGCTAATTTATTTGTTATCGCGACCTTTAGTTGGAATTTTTTAATGTTTCAAAGGGATAAATACCTAACAGTCACACAAAAAAAAAGTTGTTTGCACTTTTCATGCGACATATGTTATCCGTAGTATTTTTGCCTCCTGATCACGAATCCAGTGTCAGAATTGAGCTATCACATCACAGGAATTTCCTAACCTAAAAAAACAGGTCAAAATTAGCAAAAATTCACGAAAAAGTGCTAGGAAAAACACAAAATTTTTTTTTCTATATTCAAATGTTCATTTAAGACCTCGCCGAACTTGAATGCGCGGTGAAAATTTATGGTTCTTTTTCTAACCTCAAAAAAACAGGTCAATTAAGGTCAAATATCACGAATTTTCAAAAAATAACAGATTCGCGCCAAATTTAGTATACGGTAGTTTTCGAGGTCGCTGATGGCGGATCCGAGCTCAATCTTGCAAAATTCAAGATGGCGGTTCCAAGGTGGCCGACCAAATTTAAAAAAAAAAATAACACATTCACGTCAAATTGGTATACGGGGGTTTTCGGAGTCACTGACTACGAATTCGAGATGAGAATTACGAAATTTATTTTTTAATATTTCTGTTTATTTTATAATCTGAGTACCTAGTCATGTTTTAACCTTCTTCAAGTACATAGGTAATTGATTAAATTTTTAAAAACGAATTTTGTAAATCTAAACTCGGATTCGTGATCAGTGACCCCGACTCGCCATCTTGAATTTTGCAAAATTGATATAACCATAGGAATGAACATTTAAATATAGAAAAAACTATTTTTTGTACTTTTCCTAGCACTTTTGCTATTTTTTGACCTGTTTTTTGAGGTTAGGAAATTCCTGTGATGTGATAGCTCAAGTCTGACACCCGATTCGTGATCAGGAGGCAGAAATAACATATGTCGCATGAAAAGTACAGTTTTTTGTGTAGCTGTGTAATGTAAAGGAGTTAAGCCCGAAGATCTTGGAGGCCATAAGCCTCGACTAATAATGCGATCGTCTTAAAATTCTCTTAGGAACTCCAGTGTGCTAACAAGCTGCGTGTGGTGTTGCCCAGTCTTGTTGATATTAACCATTTGTGCAATTCGTCATCATATGGCTGATTTAAAAATAGCTGCAAAATGTTTTGTCTATATCGCTCAGCAGTAACATTATCTTAGGTGCAATTATTCTTCACCGAGATATGGCTACCCAAACTCCTATTTTAACAAGATTTAAAGTCGTTTCCATTAATACGTGTGATTTCTCCGCAGACCCCGTACGATAATTTTGTGAATTTACGTATCCACAAAGATGATACCATGCCTCATCGGTAAAAAAAGATATATCTAAAAGATTGTCATCGTTTAAGTTGTTGTTAAACCATAGTTCACTCGTTTTCCATTATTTAATGGTAATAAGCTGTCGTAAAGGTTTAGTGGGGCTTGCTGCTAAACGCTCTCCAACGTTCTAAGATTTATGGTTTCCAACCTAATACAGTTCGAGTACTGTATATTGAAGAAACCATCGGTATTTGCTTCCTTACCACAAAACTAACAGATGATTAACGTTACAAAACACTGATTATTTAGAAGATTATACGATACATTCAAATAAATACACAATCGGCAAGCACAAACGGGAAACACAGACGTCTCTGAATTAACAGATCGTGTCGGTCGGAAATCTAAGAAAACGGAAAGTAATTTTGATCAAATGGAAGTAAATTTTAATATCTTTAGTAACATTTACGTGAGACGTCATCTTCAGTCATTCTGGATCGCACGGTATTATAGGACTATAGAAAAATTCATTATAGCACTAAATACTATTAAAAAAATGCATATTAACTTTTGAGATTTGGGTCTACCTCTGTTATGTGGAGTCTCCTGCTCGTCGGCAAAGAAGCAAGCGGGATGTTCGGACGTCCTCCTCATCACATCAAACGAAATAGACATTTGGGGTTGAAAAAGTCACGCTGTTTTATAGTACATATACTGTCAGCCATGCTTCCGTTTTGATGAACCAGGGTCGATTTTCGATCACTTGCTTTGGTTGGTCCGCAGCGGTCCTGTAGTGAAGTCCACCTTAAGTTTGGACAGTTGGTCTGTCTGGATTTTGCCCATCTTTGGAATCTGGTCGACTGGAGCTGGTTATAGGCTTGTAGATAGTCATAGCAATTTTGAGAAACTTTTTATTTCCCGAAATTCAGAACTGAGGTGATTTTTTTCTGCTAATCTAGTTTTCACATCTCGATATATCTGCTCTTCAGAAAATAATTAATTTAAATGAAAAGCAGCATTATTTTTCAAAATCTGATAATTTTATTAAGCATGCATGATATTAATTAATAAATTTAGCAACCAAAATAGATTTCTTTTTAATTTAGTTGTGAGGTAGTTATTAAAAAAAATACTTGTATCCAAATAGTTTTATTAGTTTTTTAAAAGATGAGTAGTTAAACAGCTGTGAAGGAAAGAATTGAAAATGAAAGCGTTGATATAGTTTTGCAGAAAAAATTACCTGTACCCTTATCAAATTATTATTTATTGACGCAATCCGTATATCTTCCTGTATATTTACCTGTTATAACTATTTCCCTTTTAAACGAACTGAGAGTGGAGAAATATCAACTTTTTATTCAGTCCTACGACCACTGACTCAGTTCTGTCACTCGTTATTAATGATTTGTAGTGCCGTGGTTTTGTCAATCATCCGGCCGGGTCCACGTACTCGGATGACGCCCACTGAGCGTGTAGAAATCGACATTATAAAGTGCATGTTCGTTAATGATTCCAGCATGTTCAGATTTTAGATATGTCATATCGAGTTACATTTGACTATTTGCCAACCCGGTGAGACCGGGTCGTTGTCTGCTCGGTGCTTGCGTAAATCCTCCAGTAGTTTCCTCTAACGTGTTGGCCGCAATATAGATGCAGATCCGATGGTTTTCGTTGCAGTATTCGTTGCAGTCGGTAACGTAGGATACAAGAAAACCAGATGGAATCTTCGGTTTATTCAATCAACACCATCTGTTACGGTTTCTTTCTTTATGTACTTACAGTAACGTTTTCGACGTACGATAGTCCTTGAGTGAAAAAAATCTCGAATTGAGTTGTATTCCATTGACACAACCACAAGATACAAGGTGTGAATAATTTTCAGTACTTAAGAACTTACGACTAGTTCGTCTCGCAAACTTGAAGCACGTTATTAATCAAACTGTTTATAGCAATCGCCTAAACTGTAACTAAGTTATGGTTCGGTGTGTATCGCAATTATAAAGCCACTGTTTTAAAGTTGAGTACAAAATTACATGAATTTTGAGCTATCTTTAAGTGGGGTTTTTAGAGGTAATATGTATTACGTGTTCCCCTGAATACCAATCTGAAATTATAATTACTACGCCTTAATTATTTAATTTAAAGGAACGCATTTAGGAAAAACAGATATGTATTATTAAAAAATTGTAAAATTGTATTCAAAATACAGTATGTTCCTATTCTTTTCTCTTCTTCAGCACTTCAGCAGTGCTAGACATATTAAATTGATCCAAAATAAACAAAACAACAGCAAAATTAAACCCTTGACAGCTTAAAATTTAGCAGAATTCGACCCTGTTCCGAACACTTACGAAGAGCAACAAAGGTCAACCCTGCTGTTCTGTCAAAATGCCGTAGTGTCGCCTTTGAAAGGCCGCTACTGCCGGCTGACTTTGCACTTGGTATGATATGACGGAATGGTAAACAGATAGAAAACAAACTGCCACTCAGTTAAATGGAAATGGTGGAATACGTCATTGTCGCTTCATTTTATTACATTTTTATTTTAGTTTTCAGTTCGATTAAATTTTTTTTTTTTTCAGTTTTTTAGTAGGTACTGTCTGTTATATCGAGGAGTTATGAATTGTCCAGAATTCTTATTAAAAATAGTATTAATTGAGAAGCATTGTTAAAAATTAATAATGATAGAGTTTTTAATTGGAATCGTACAGTAAAAACATTTAAACTGTTATCAAAGCCGTTCTTTACACAACAAATTATGTAAAAAATAGTAACTTCTGAGTCGGATAAAAGCATGTGTTTACACATGTCCGCAAGTGACCCATTTGGAGAATAGACGCAGGACGCACCAGGGTTCCAGGAAAAGGTCCACGGCTGATTGGCGCCAAGGACTAGATACATATACCTGTGAGCGACTCCACACCAGGACTTTTCAACGAACGCTCGCCCCGACAACATTTCTTCTCACTAAACTTTATTTTCAATAAAAATTTTATTTTACCGTTGAGTTTCATTTTCGCTGAACACCAAAAACAAACCTCAAGCACTTTGCACACAAGTTAGATGTATTATGTACTCAACCGAAGTGAAATAAGATGATTACTGATTATTTGTATGACTGTATCAACATTAGTAATACAACAAATGAATAGTTTTATTCAAATTTTATTTGACAATTTCTAAGGCCATAACCGTAAAGTAAATTTTTGTTTATAACATTTTCGGATTCGTTTGTTTTATACGCATAAAATTGGGCACTCAGGAACGCTCTTTTTCAGGCAGAAGGGCCCCCGGTCCAGATGGAGCCCGTAGATCTAAGTGTTAAGACGCCAGTAGTGCTACAAGTACCTAAATATCCACCACAGAGGTTGCGGAACCCTCCGCCGTCGGGAAAGATTCAACAACCACCAGGTGAGTAATTTTATATACACATACATACTTAGAGATCTGTCCAAAATTTTCCATGTTCCATTATACCTCAGACCTTATTTAAGAGCCGTAATTGACGTTTCGGCAGTTTTACTTCTATGTCACGAATAGAGTTTGTCACTTCGGTGCGTAAACAAAGCGTAGATGTGGGAGGGTGTACAAGGTCATATCGTTGCTTTGTGACACGGTGTCTGCGGCTCGTGTAAATGTACAAGGCATTCATACGGGCTGCTACATTTAAAGCAAATTTAAAATTGTTTCGTAAACTTATGCTTCAATCGAGCATAGCAATTATAAAATATCGTGTTTTGGAAACGGTTTTATTTGGATTTCTGAATCTCCACAACACATATTAATTGAATAAGAAATATATAAAAATTCCAGAGTAGCATCAATACATTATGATTTAAACAAACTAGTTCAAAAGTTGCTGTTAGCAGGTTTGTTCCGTAAAGCTTATAATTTGGATATAAAAATTTGAGAAGAAAACCGACAGTTAGTTCCTCCATTCTATTTGTTAAATAATATATCAACCCGAATGCTTCTGCCATATGATTTGGATGTTGCAAGCTATTATTAAACTCGTAGGTATCTTTTTTATGATCCTCAAATATTTTATTAATAAAGTAAATAATAAAATATCATGGTCAGTCAGAATAGACACGGAAACTAGTGTTCATAAATTTTAATTCATTATTCGTGACTGTATTATTTATAAAAATTTATTAAACGTTTTACTACAAAAGCAAAAAGTAGTAAAGTTTTGTAAATATTATAACCGACAAAAGAAATTAAGAAAAAGTTCCGTGTTTATTGTACAGGGTGTTCCCAAATAATACCCATTAATCATAGTGTAACAAATGAACAATGTGTATGCTGATGTGAAATATCTGGAATTATCAGGAACTTTCAAAGATTTAAAAAACGACAGCGAAATATTAGAGAGTTTCTAAAATTTTGATGATTTTTTTTTCTATATAAATTCAGTAGTGTACTATTAATTTTAAATCGTCTGTCTATACCTCCTGTGTATTTGTTGGTCGACTGTCATTACGAATTAGTACATTTCTCTTTGTTTATTCCTGAACAATATTTCTGCACAACAGGGACATGAAACTACTACATATACAAGGTGATTCACAAATGGTGACCAAAAATGAAACCTCGTATTCTTTGGTGAATTTTAAGGGGTCTCTTATAAAATTTTTAATTTTTTAAAATAATTTAACAACTAGTAAGTGAAATAATTTGAAATTGGGCACATGTACTAATGTAATGTGTTTTTTTTAAGATTGACTCGAAAATCAGGCTTTTTTCGAAAAACATAAGAGAGTAGTAATTTGTAGAAAATTGGAAATATCATGGTTGTTACCGTAAAGCAGTGGCGTACTATTTTATTTAGAAAAATATGCCACCGATACTCTGTATCTCCGCCACTGGAGTATGTAAATTTAGGAAAAGCCCTCAAATTATTTCACTTACTAGTTTTTAAATTATTTAAAAAAATTAAAGATATTTTTTGAAGTTTAACACCCTGTATCTCTTTAATGAAGCGTCCTAGATAAAAACTTTATAGGAAGGACCCCTTAAAATTCACCAAAGAATACGAGGTTACATTTTCAGTCACCATTTGTGAATCACCCTGTATAAGCTTAAATTCAGTTCCTATTACTTATATTTTATTCAGAAAAAATTTAAAACGCCTCTTTTTAAAAATCCATTATTTGCAATTGAAAATATTCTTAAATCTTTAAATATCCTGTAATTTGTTTGAAGTTACAATTATTTTCTCTTTTTAAATAAAATCCAATAGCGTACGAAAAAAATTACTTATTCTCTCGAAAATTATGAGTAAAAAAAGAAACTATGTATACCAGTAAAGTAACACACAAAGTTACATCAAATGACTCAAGAACTTTTTCATCGGAACAACACAAACGAATTTACGGAAAGTTAAAAAAAATCTTTTATATAAAAAAAATATAGAAATTAGCGATGACTGAGAAATGGAAACTGACTGAGTTTGAATCTTTAAAAATTGGAATACTGTTTAAATCTACCTGGAAAACCTGAAACATTAGGTGTTTTTATTGGTGGAAATTTTGTATAAGCCCTGAAATGTTGAAAAAGCAACAAAAATATTTCTCACAAACATGTGTTCAAGTGAAAACCGTAACTTTCTATCTCTCTTAATTTCGGAGAGATTACTGAGTTTTTAAAGCAATGGGATAAGATACCAAATAAAACATGAAATAATCTTGCAATGGTGAAATTTAAATCAAAAGTTTGCTCACTAAGTTGGCTTTTAGACTGGACTAACAATTAAAAATTGCCACGTCATAGGGCAACTTGTGCCTGTGTTATGGTATTTAACCAGTGGCGGCTTTTGATAGTACTGGATAGTTTTATTTTAAATACTATTGAAATATAAGGAAAATTTACTCGTTATTATTTTTATAGGGAAAGTCCATCCTTCTGTTTTTGCCCGAAAAATTTTTTTTTATTTTTCATTACAATTTGATACCTTTACACTAACGTAAACAAATTATATTTAATAAAAAAAAGCGATAAATGACTATTATTTGGTTACGGTCGGACTAACCATGACCACCGCTGTAAACACTACAGATTAAGGGGCGAGCTACAAGGAGCCTACGTATTCAAGTGTTTTTCAAATGAATTTTGTAAGTAGAGTTAAATTGACGAATACATTACAAATGGAATATTTCCTTTTTAATGTGTATCATAAGGCTAATCTATTTAATTAAGATAACATTGTAAATTAAAGTTTTATATATATTTTTTTTACTATGAAGATTTCTAGGGGGAACGCGCCCCAGAGCTCCCCCTAACCAGCCGCCGCTGCATTTAACGAATAGACGAAATATTCACAATCAAATACAAAAACTAAAACTGTATCTAACAGCACAGTCCGTTTCCCGGGGGCTCGTTGTGGGTGTGTATGTAGCCATGACATTCATGGTTAATAAAATCAACTATAAATCTCCGTAAAAAAATAACGGAATTATATCACACATAATTATCTCTGTAATCGTAAAAAATCGAGCCATTCTCCACGCATTATCCTTGGAGAGGATCCCGGATCGCCTTGCGTGCACTTCCTGATCGAGTTCGTTCCTTTTTCACGGATTTCATGGACTATAAGAAGGTGTGCATGTTTTGATGAATACGTACCGAACAACGGCAAGCCTTGCGACGATTAGATCTCTTGTACAGGGCATTCCAATTATAACAGGCCATAACCGTTCGCTCGCACACTCACTCGACCGCCTTTTACATTTTCAAAGTTATAGGGTGTCTCAAAAATGAATGCCAAAATTTTAACCGAGTGCTTAAGTCGTGCAAAGTCACAACTTTTGTCTAATAAATTTTTTCAAAAAAAAAAAAAAAATTGCGCGGTATATTGTACCTGTATTGTACCTGTAAACGCTAATAAAATACTATATTTTGACGTAGTCGTCTTCAAATTCAATGCACTTTGTGAGATGAGGGATGAGCTTTCTGATATCTTCCACCCATAAACACCTTCAGTGAAAAGAATATATTAAAATCAAAAGGTGTCAGGTCAGGGCTGTGAGCGGGACGGTTGACAATGTTCCATCCGAATGAGTTTTGATATCGTTAAAAATACATACGGCGGCTTTCCCTTTGCAAGAAGAAACCGGATTACGCTCCTCCTCTTCTTCCCAACTGGTGGGATTCGGAATAGCGGTACACATTTCAACACGCCACTACAACAACAGTTCTCAACTGACAGACAAATGAGCGCCGCGCTTAGTACTCCCAACGCCTTGGTCTTGAAAATAGTGTTGCCAACTTTGTCGAAAACTAAAACCACAGTATCAGAGTCTCAATACTCTTATAGCTGGCGGGATTCGGAATAGCGGCATTCATTTCAACACGCCACTATAACAACAGTCCTCAACTGACTACGACAAATGAGCGCGCGTTCTGCTCCCAACACCTTGGCCTTGAATGCATTGCCAACTTTATCTAAAACAAAATCCACAAAGCATCGGAGACTCAGTACTCTTACTTTGCGGATGTGCCTCGTACTACCACTAGTCAGTTCTCATTTTTTTTAGTATTCTTTGTTTATTATTAACTGACATAAGCGTTTCTTCTTTCTTCTTTCACATAAGCGTTTTCAAAAATTATTAGACGAAATTTGTTGATTTTGATGAGTTATATGTATATAAATCTGTTGTAATAAAAAATTGTGCATTTGGTCATTTTTCTTAAACACAACATTAACGAAGTTATGAGATAAATAAATGAGATAAATGCCTATTAGCAAACATACCTCTAAGTATTCCTCTGATTTTTAATTAATAAAACTTTCTTGAACTTTGAATGGTGACGGGAGTATTTACTATTTACTTATTTTTTTGTAATAGAAGTTGTGTCTTGCTCTATTCAATCAGGTGATCTTGCAACTCCTGTTCTTTTAGATCTTTGTTCTCTGTATCGCTTCGCAGATTACATTTAATTATTTCATCCTTTTTATTATTAATATTTCAAAATAGATTCATTCACATTCAAGAAAAAAATATAATCGTGAACATTTCCCAGAAGGATTCTCAGGAAAACTTTGCTTTAATTGTTTTTAATATACTTAGATATTTTCCAAATTTTCGAGATACCTATAGTATTTACATTAAACACCTCGCGATTGTCCAATTTCTTTTTGTCGATTTTAATTCATCACTACTCAATATATACCGGCCTAACTGCACTATTGATCCACTAATTGAAACTGAATCTTTACTCGACTTGTCATTAGTTTATTGTAGAAACAGATTAAGGCGCATAATTTCGTCTGTATATTTTTATTTCAAAACCCATTAGCTGGTGAAGCTCGGAAAGGATTCACAATGCCAAGCAATCAATTCGACTTAGATATCTTAATATGAGGCTGGCCTACACTTTTATCATCATCACATGATCTGTCACGACAACTG